CCCAAGCTTTGTTCCAAGGTCGGGGGTGCACAACAGTAGCCTTGCCAACGTGTTGATCCGACCAGAAGCGGAGCTCAAAGGTCAGGGGGCTCAGACAGATCCTGGGGCCTCACCGGGTCGGACTCCTCCAGGTGAGGGGGAATGTCTTTTAGTGATCTGAATCTTTTCTCATGTAGAGCCCAAGACCTCCATGAATTCACCAATGTTCTCTTCAGTATTATTTACTGACTCACCACAGAAATCTGATGGCAGGTCGATACACCTAAACTGTGCCTTATCAAGACTAATTTAAAGAATTTTCAGGAGGGACTATTTGAGTGCAGCCCACCTGGGTAACAGAGGGTATGACTGTGAATGCTGATATTGCTAGTTGTGGCTGCTTGACCTTAGTTAGGCAAGTAATCCGAACTCACCAGAGCCAGAGCCTCATGTGTTCAAAGATAAGGATAGGAATACCTTCCCTGTATCCTCTCAAGAATTTAGGGAAACTCTAATAAGCTAACACATATAAAAGACCTTCTAAACTCCAAAGTACAGGTTGAATGTAACTTAGAATTATCTTCAGTCAGAGCCTATGTAACAAACTGAAAACATGAGCTACATTCCAAACAATGCCAAGGCCTTTTGTGGGACCCAGTTCCAGACACTTAGACTGACTTAATACACTGGAACAAGGGGATATTTCAGAGCTTGGCACTTAAAGCATTAGGATTATTACTTCATTACCAGCAGACAATTATTTTTTTTCTTTGCCTATGAAAGTTAAAGAAATACTTTAGTGGCTGCCCATGTAATTGAATTCATCATGGAGCTTTATGTTAAGTTGGGCTTGTCTGAACTCACTCTTGAGCATACAAACCATTGCCCACAGCAAACAGGTTTGATGAGGGTTATTTTTGCAGAAAGGATCCTGTGATATGAATCTATCTTGGTCTATTTTGTGCAACCATAACAGAAAGCTTGAGACTAGGTAATCTATAAAAAACTGAGATTTCTTTCTTCTTTTTTTATTTTTTAAAGTTATTTTTATCCATAATTGAGAGCATGTATGTGTGTAAGCAAGGAGAAAGAGAGATAGGAACAGTCTGTCATACCCCAGTTCTCTTTCCCCAGGCCTCTAGCTTTTCAGGATCCTGGGTGCCCATACCCACACCCATCATGTTTCCAGGCTAACCCAGGTATCTGAACCTGAACATAGCCTTGTGGTTTCCAACACTGCAGTTCAATTAGCCACCAAGTGCATCATGAGGTTGGGCCCTGAGATTTATTTCTTATATTTCTGCAGGCTGGGAAGTCCAAGGTCAAGGGACCCACGATCTGGCCAAGGGCCTTCTTGCTGTAGCATCATGGGGTGAAAGGCAGAAGAGCAAGAATGCACATGTGAGAGCTGAGATGGGGTGGAGGGTGGGCAAGGGTTAAACTCATCCTTTTATCAGTAGCCCATAATGGCATTAACTCGTTCATGAGGGAAAGCTAATCATGACCTAATCACCTTTCAAAGACCTCACCTCTCACCACTGATGCATTACGGATTTCAGTTCCAACATTTGAACTTTGGGGGAGATATTCAACCATAGCAGAATCAAACATACTGGATTAAACATACTGACACTACTTAATATGTCCATCAAGTTTTCTTTTTTTCCCCCCTTTTCCTCTAATCCTGTCCTTGTTCCAAATTTTCCAACTATGCCCAGAACAAATAGACTATATTTAAACATCTCTGTATTCTTACAACTTCCAGTGACCCTGGGCATTTCATGCACCTAGAAAGGCAGCAATTTATTATATCTTTTATTATAATTCTTTGGAAGTCTATTTTAATATTTAAGTGAAATATTTTTATAGTACTTCATTAGCATAGATGCTAATACACTTGAGTATTAATAGCTCAGCCTTGCTTTCCCACACTTCGTTCAGTTATATAAGCGGAATTATACATGATTACATTGCGTTCAGACACATCCTTTGGATTTCCTGAACTCTTTCTTAGTGTGTTCATGCAGAGTTCCTGCACAGGGTGACACAGCATTCCATCAGCAAAGTAATTCAGGGAGAAAGCCTTCTCCCTGGTAATTCACTCACCTTTTAGAATATCTTATATAGAGTAGCCATTGTCTGTGAATTGTCAGCAGCATTAAAAGCATTATACTTTTTGGTCAGCAGGTAGCGAGGTGGGTAAAGCACTGGATCCCACACAGCCAACTCCATGGTTTGAATCATAGACCTGATGGCTTGAAAAACACACCTGGAACTTGTACATGTGTTCCCAAAAGTCTGAGAGAAGAATGGAGAAGGGAGTGTGGCGTGATCATCCCACTGCGGGTGGGAGGTGGGGGTGATTTCTTGCTTTCCCTCTGTCTCTGTCCAGTGAGCACAAATACCATATGGAAAAAAAAAAAAAAAAGAAAAGAAAAGAAAAGAAAAAAGCATCATACTTTTTTCGTCAGTAATGCATGGGACCTCGGGCACCTCCTCAACAGCTTGAACTTGTCAACATAGTTTGTTGTGAAGCTGATGGATCATTCTTCACTATTTTAAGAATTTGTGTTAGGCAGGGTACAATTTCACTGTTGCTTTGCTTCATATTCTGATTCTGAGACAGATATCCAGGAGAATAAAGCACGACATGTAGCCTTAGTTCTTCATATGTAAAACAAACAAAAAAATGTTTTAAATAGTACCTGTCTCATAGAGTGGTTTGTTGATTGTTTTAGTCTGTTCCATTGCTAATAACAGAAAATATCTGAGTCTGGTGATCTAAAAGATTAGAGGTTTATTCAGCTCACAGTCTGAAGGTCCCAGATCCAGGGACCACATTTGGTGAAACCCTTCCTGTTGGTAGGGTCCCAAAGCCATGCAGAGTATCGCATCAAGAGAAAACAGGAGCACACGCTTCTGTGTTCATCTACGTGTGTCTCTCTCCTTATTACCCACCAGGAGTCAATCACAGGGGCTCTACCCTAATCACCTAATCACTACCAAAGACCCCACTTTCAAGGCCATAGATATCTTTTTTTCTAAAGTGTGGCTTGTTTTTTTGTTTTGTTTTGTTTTGTTTTGTTTTTTGCCATAGGGCACATGTACTTACTGGAGACAGAGAGAAACAGACACACAGAAAGGGAAAATGAGAAACCATCCCTCAGGGGTGATGGCCACGCCACAGTCTCTTCTCCTTTCTCCTTTTGGGATTTTGGGCATGCTCACACATGCGCCCCAGTGTGATATTAAAGCTACCGAGTCTGGGACTTGAACTCAGTTGGCTGGATACCCTCACAATACAGCCAAGTTCCATTCCACACACCTGAATTTTGGAGGCTGGTCAAACCATAATAATGATTAAATGAGAGACTATATTTAGAGTACTTACCTTAGTTCTTGTTAGGTAGGGAGCAAGCTGTCGGTTTATAACTGCTATGTCCCATCGTCATCAGAACTAGTTGTTGCTAAGTGTTATCCTGTTCTGTGAAAAATAGACTCCACTTTTATCATTTTTCATGTACATTAAATTTGAAGGTTGCTTTTGTGCTCCTTACTTTTAGTAAATATAAATACAATTTTAATAATTATCTCAACATTTTAAAACCACCACATTATACTTGCTAATATGCATTTTAATCTCTCACTCATTTTCTTAGTACTTTGTAGAAGGTAAAGCTGCCTGCGGGGTGTTACAGTGCCAGGCTGGTCTCTCTGTCTAGTTTCTCCATGACTCATTCTCTGACTTAAACAATCACTCTTTCACCTCACTCTTTCATAGAAGAAATCAAAACAGACAGACCGCCACCTCCATACTTCACTAGGGTGGTGTGGGAGGTATGAGTTAGTGTTTCTGAAGTGGCTGGCCAGAGTGAGCCATACAAACATGCGGTGTCTGCGCTGCATCTCTGGGCCAAAGGATATTATCTTTACCATGGCTCTGGTATGGTCTTGACAGCTTTCAAAGTACGTAAATGTGTTTCCGCCCATAATGCATTAGAGTACCTTTGTTACTTTCAGGTGAAGTAATTGACTTGACACAGGTGAGCTCAGAGTTCTTCTCTAAGAAACAAAAACTTGCACGATATTTGATCTTCGCCTGTGAGGTCCACTGAGCCATTCCTACATTCGTATTTTCCTGTGTTTTCAACAATTGCTCTATTTCCCCTACTGACTATAGTATAATGGTTATGAAAATAACCTACCTAGTTTTGATATTGCCTATATTACAGTGATTGTAAAAATAAATTACATCCAAGACAGTTCTGTTGTATACTTTTAAAATATGAGATTTTTCATCAGAGACCTCACTGTCTTGAAAAGTTATTTACATATTTTCAACTTTTGCGAATTATACATTTCATTATGAAAACCATCTTATACCATGTCTATTCAGAATTAGGATGGGTAGTACTCACCTTATTTTCAATCCCTTATCAAGTCTTCACTCCTTTTATATTTTGATTTTTTTTTTTGCCTTTTAATTTTTTTAAGTAACTTTTCATTATAAAGATTTTCAAATGTGTACAAAAGCAGATAGCATATTTTGATGAACCCCATACACTCCATTCATTACCCAAGACTCAACAGTTTCCACTCATGAAATTCCCCTACTCACCTTCACACCAAAGGATAATTTGACACAAGACTCAGGCATCCTGCCCCTGTACTTGTATACATGTCTAAGAGGTAAGAACTCCTTCCTTAACAAAAATAAGATAAATAAATGTACTTTCTTCATATCAAATATCCACAAGTGGTTTGTGAATATCTATAATTAGCATGGTTGAGTAAAAATACATATAAGAGGGACCAGCAGATGGCATAAAGGCTACGTTGCTGGACTCCCATGTAGTCGACCATGGTTCAAGTCCCGGATCCGGTGGCTTAAACTCACACCGTGTGCGTGTGCGTCTGTGCCCAAGATCCCGAGAGGAGAATGGAGGAGAAGGGATTGTGGCATGGCCATCCCCCCGGGGGATGATTTCTCTCTTTCTGTCATCTGTCTTTCTGGTGAGTGCATATGCCCTATAGCAAAAAACATCTCCCCCCAAAAAATACATATAAGATATGCCGATTGCATTTGGTCGATCTAGATCTCCTGTCTCTGTCTCTCTCTTTTTTCTTTTCTTTCTTTCTTGTTTTTTTGTTTTTGTTTTTGTTTTTTTTTTTTTTTTTAAGATTTTTTGCCATAAGGCACATGCACTGGCCAGAGAGAGACATAGAGAGCGAAAGTGAAAAATCATCTCCTGGGGGAATGGTCCCACTGCAATCCCTTCTCCTCCACTCACTTTAGGCATGCTCTCACACACACCCAGTGTGATTTTCAAGCCATCAGGCCTGCAACTCAAATCATAGTCAGCCACATGGGAGTCCAGCATCTTAACCACCACACCACCTGCTGGCCCCTCTCCTGTCTCTTAGTATCTGGGTTCTCCATCCTTAGTCATTTGTATTTACAGAAACTATTTCATTTATCTGACAGAATGGCCCACAGTCTGAAAACAGCATATGCATCTCTTGGCATCACTTAGCACATCTCTTTATTCCCTCTATTTACAGTAAACTCTGGAGGTCTGGGAGCTTGTTCATGATCAGATGTTTGTTTGTTTTGTTTCTGTTTGGATGAGACTAGTGCAGATGGGATGTCCTGTACTGACCGTCACTGCTCATCAAGAGAAACAGATGACTGGCTCTCTCTCCTTCCATGATGTTTAAATCAGACATCCCTGGGTTCAGGTGTGGTTGTGGTCAGTCTGATCCAGCTTAGAAAATTTTCCATCAGCCTTTCACCTGGTGGTTTTTATGTTGTTTGTTTTGGGGGGTTTTGGTGTTTTGAGGTTTTTTGTTGTTGTTGTTTTGTTTTTTAGTTCATTTATTTCCTCCATGATTGAGTGAGAGAACGCATCCTCAATGGGGTCTCAGTGCTGCGGACCACCCCTAGCTTCAGCCACCCCCATATCACAGGCAAGCATGTGCTGGGCATATGCAGGGAAGTCTCCAGATGTGAATCTGGAACCTCTCTATGTGAATCAGCCTCTCAGAGCTTCACGTTTCACCGCCATGCCACCATCCAGTCCCCTCACCTGGTGGTTTTTGCAGCCATTGCTGACCCTTGCCTCCAAATGTATAAATTATCTTAGGGTTAGAGTACCTGAAACCTAACTTTAAGCAGCACCTACCTCAATGTACCTCAATTTGAAAGAAAGGTTTCTAAGAAATATGTTAGTAGTAATCTAGAAATACTGAGTGATTCTAATAAAGTAAGGCTTTTTGGGTAAAAGTGATTATATAATTCTAAATGTTTTTACATTTTTACATAGAAGCACTTTTCAGAATTCTAACTAGAAAAATAAAAATAATTCTCAGTCCTAATGAAAGAGGATGAGTATAAGAAACAATTAGTAAAGAGTTAGCTTGTTTACTAAATCTTCCCATAAAATCCAACTAATGTTTTGAATTTTACATCGTTTCTAAGAGTTTGTTTTTGTTTTTGTTTTTGAGAAACTAAGTATTTTTAAAGCATTCATCTTCCTCAAACCACAAGCAAATTAAGACAACTTAAAGTAGTTCAGGTTCCAGGGCCAGCAGGTGGCGTGGTTGGGGTGCTGGACTTGCACTTGACTGAGCAGGGTTCAAGTCCCAGATCTGGTGGCTTGCTTTCTCTCTCTCTCTTTCTTGAGCACACATACCCTATAGTAAAAATTAAAAATAATAATAAGTAAAATTAAATAATTCTTTTTTGAAAAAAAAGTAATTCATATTCCTTTTGGTAGTAATGTGAAAGAAAAAAATCAGTGATTAAATATTAAATGTCTCTCTAAGTCCAGCATAATGATGAGCTGTCTTACAGAACAGGGGTGTTTATACTGCTGTGTCTCCTTTGCATCTTAATCATGCTGCTCTTTGATTTTAGACCTCTGGTCTGCAAAGATTTTCGCTTTATAGCTTATTTGTTTTTTTGCTTTATAGCTTATTTGTTTTTGTTGGACTCAAATTCTCATTTTGATCATGTGCCCAGAAGTATGCTCCAGGTTCAACTGGAATATATGATGACCTGCAGAACCCAGAGACATGGACTCATCTTGGGAATTTATAGCCTAAAGTTGATGTGGAATTTGGATTTAACAGTTGAAAATTATACCTAGTTTCTGGAGTTTATATATCATTCCACTTTTTATGTGGAATAACCTTCATCAGGATCATTTCAGGAAATGAGAAAAGTAGGATATGGTTCTGAGTCAGCTATGGAAAACGACAGCATGGAATGAATTAGTCAGAAGGAGTGTTTGAATGGCCAGCATGAGCTGTGTGCTATCAGGAAGTTGCATGACTTTCCATGATTTTATGTACTATAAATCATGTGGCATACTGCTTCAGACACCTAGAGTCTTTTATTTCTTCAATTAGAATCTTTGAGATAAAATTGAAGAGCACCAATGGGACAAAAACACAAAGCCCGTTCAGTGCTTGTTCACCCTATTGTCAGTTCAAGTGGATTTCCACCCCTGCTCCCAGCTCTACTGGGGGTAGCTCGTTTGTGGCTGTTGGGCCAAGTCTGAGAAGTGAATGGTTTTGGCAGAGTTGCTGCTACAGGAGAATGTGGCATGTTCTGTTTCTAATACTTTTTCTTCTGCCCCCCTTTTGGCCACTTAGAAAGCTACACCCTTTATGGTCTGGAGGAGAGTTGCTTTTTCCTGCATTCTGCTGTGTTTTAGAAAAGTAGTCTCAAATTCAGAATGAGGTACTGTTTTCTAGTCTCTCATCATCCAGGTAAAGAGAAAAAAAAAAGCTTGCAGCTATGGGGTAGATTAAAGGTTGTATCATGTGAAGTTCATAAAACTGTATCTCTCAAGGAAAATGCTGAAAATGTAATCACTAGAATTGCACGTGGAGGAAAATAAGTTTATTGCTTTATTGGTAATGTAAGTTAGTTAAATATAATTAAGACAGCCTCTCCCCTGTCTTTTACAATTAACAGGTACATATGGTATTCCATAGTTAGAGTGTGTAGCACATGTGTGTGCATGTGTATGTGTATATATATATATATATATTTTTTTTTTTTTGCCAGCATATCCAAAGGAATACTTCAATCAGGAATGGAGCCTGCAGTTTGGCTCCATGGCCTAGTGGTTAAGAGAGGTGGATCCCACATGGCCAACCATGGTTCAAATCCTGCCCCACTTGAAAAACACCCCAGGTATTTGTGTGTGTGCCCCAAATCCTGACAGGATGGAGAAATGGAGAAGTGCTGGCCGTGTGACCATGCCCCGTGTAGATGCTTTCTCCTTCGCCCTTTCTGTCTCTGGTGAGTGTACATGCCCTCTGGTATTTAAAATAATAATAATAATAATAATAATGGAATCTGCATGTGAGCACTTGCCCTCCTGATGGACACAAATTGAATTCCTTTTGATTTTATGCTTTTGGCAACCTGGCAAGCATCTCCTCTGAAAGAAATCCTGTGCACTAGCTTTACAG